GGGGAGGAGCAACGGTGTGCTGTGTCTTTCCCAGAGTGACTGACTCGCCAGGGCGAAAACACAGCTTTAGGAAAAGTCCATCCGAACATCCGCGGAAGAAATGGAAAAACGTCACCCAGTCTGCTTTGCAAGTGAGAAAGAACAAGGCCACTCTCTGAAGTTTAGAGGTGTATTTCTTTTTTTAGTCGTTAGGGAAAAAAACATCTTGTTTCCGACTCTTCAGAAAGAAGCCTTTTTGGCATTTTTTTCACTGAACAACTCCAGTTTCAGCCATCACCAAGGAAACCATTTTATGATTTACCTGTTTTGGAAGATTTCAGAAATAGAAGCCATTCTTAGCTGAGAGCGCTTTGGGTCTGTTTCGGTGTTATTCATCGCTGTGGTGGATATAAGGAGCTCGGTTGCCGTCCTGGAGCTCGGCCGGGTGGTAAACGCTCAGTGCCCCCACCTTGGGACGGTTGGGTGTGTGCTCTTACAGAGGGCAGCGCTGTTCACCTTTCTAATTTAGTGTTTGGTATGTTTGCTTGTAAGGCTTGGAGGCCAAGAGGAGAGTGGTGTTTGAGCATATTACAGGTGCCACGTGGGACACATGAGAGGGTGGGCCTGGAATGGAAGCTAAGAAGTCAGGACCTTGAGAAATTCCTGAGACCACTGAACCGCAGACCTCTAGTGCATTCCTCTGTGTCTGTGTACTTTGTCACAGATAAGGGCTTTACGGGAACCACGTGCATACTTCAGAAACTCTGAGTGTACTCACTGAGCCCCGGCCCTGCCCTGCTCTGGGTTCCTGGCGCCCTGTCTCAGCTGGAGGGTGGGGCTGCCTGGGCACTGAGGCGGGCACATGGCATTAAGTGTCTGGGGAGCACTCAGGAGAGCTTCGGAAGGTGCCTGCCGGCTCCCTAGAGTAGAACATGCAGTGTTTGTACCTGGACAGGGGAAAACCTGACGGCAACATGTATTAGAGTCTTGATTCAAAGAGAGGTATATCTAATAAAATCAAGTCCGTTGACATAACGTGTGATACCCACTGCGTTTTTTGTAGAGGAAATGTAAGGCCGCGGGCCCTGGGTGGCGCGGATGGTTAAGCGCTCGGCTACTAGCCGAAACATTGGTGGTTCAGACACACTCAGAGGAAACTTGGAAGACAGGCCTGGTGATCTGCTCCCAAAAAATCAAAGCCCTGAAAACCCTATGGGGCAGTTCTACTCTGCACACATGGGGTCACCGTGAGTCAGAATCGACTCAGCAGCAACTAACAACAACAATATAGGACTATATGTACATTTTAAATTAAAAAAAAAAACCTAAACCAAACCCATTGCCGTTGAGTTGATTCCGACTCCTAGCGGCCCTATAGGACAGAGTAGAACTGCCCTATAGAGTTTCCAAGGAGCACCTGGTAGATTTGAACTGCCAGCCCTTTGGTTAGCAGCTGTAGCTCTTAACCACTACGCCACCAGGTTTTCCTACATTTTAAATAAGGCAGTTTAATTAATGGTGACACTGTCTTAGTGAATGCAAAGTATAATTTTGTGCTTTGAAAGATTTGTATAAGTTTGAAGAGTCTTACATGAATCTTCACAAACATATTTTATAGGAAGCTGATGGTTTGATTCTGATAAATATCGACAATGGAAGTGTCACCTGCTCCAAGCCCTTGGAGGACAGCATGGACATTCCCGACGTCCCTCTGCTGGCTGCACAGACGTTCATTCAGAGGTAAAGGTGGACGCAGTGTGTTTGAAAACCTCTCATTCTGATTCTGTCCTTGCCACTTTTGAGTATTGTTTCCAATTTTATATGTCACTGATTGATATTTTATGTGTTTGTAGTTTGGAAATTATTGGTGAACATTCTGGGGAAAAAAAGTGATTTTTCTTTATTCCAGTCTTGCCTGTCGTTATGGCCCTACAGTCAGGTGATGGTCATAGTCCCCAGGAAGCTTCCGGAACCCTCTCTTTTGTGCCCTAGTACCCTGTGCTGGTGATCTTTGAAGTTTCTTCTCATTCGTTCAGTCCTTCAGTTAGTCATTATTTGTGTCGAGTACCCCCGAGGCGCCTGCGTTGGGCTGGATGTACGTACGGATGAGCAAAACAGGCTTAGCCTGTCCTGTGGCAAATTCCAGTCTGGAAGACTCTGATGGCTGTGACCCGTTCTTCCGAGCAAGACGATGTCTTTTTCTTTTCAGTTCCCCCAGTGATCTATTCGTCCTCTTATTGTTTTATACCTTGTTTTACAGCTGTTTGTGTTTTTTTCATCTCTTCTACTTGGAAACCCTATGGGACAGTTCTGTTCTGTCCTGTATGGTTGCTATGAGTTGGAGTCGACTCAGCGGCAACGGGGGTGTACTAGACGTTATTGACCTAAATCAGACATCTGCAGACTTTTTCTGAAAGGGCCAGATAGTATTTCCGGCTTACCAGGCCCTAAGGTCTCTGTCGTGGTTGTGGTGGGGGAAAGGCTTGGCAGGAACTTAATTACACGTGTGTCTTCTGGGGACTGGAAAGGGCATAATTCTAATCACTCCAGGGCAGAGAGGTAGACTGGGATGTCTGGTGCTCCTGAGCACAGCCCATCAGGGCTCAGCTCGTGTGGGACAAGCTGATATGGGTGCCCCAGCACTAGGACTCCCCCAAGTTGTCTGCAGAGCACATGCTTTTTCATTGGAATTTAATAAAATGTAGCAGGAGAGATTCTGCTTTTTAGTCCTCAAGCCACATGGGATCTGACTGCAGCTGGCTACGCTGTCAGGTGACACATGGAGTGATACGTGGAGGGCTGGGAGCAAGGTGAGCCCCCTGTCTTAGTCATCTAGTGCTGCTGTAACAGAAATACCCCAAGTGGATGGCTTTAACAAACAGAAGTTTATTCACTCACAGTCTAGTAGGTTAGAAGTCTGAATTCAGGGCACCAGCTCCAGGGGAAGCTTTCTCTCTGTCGGCTCTGGAGAAAGATCCTTGTCATCAATCTTCCCCTGGACTAGGAGCTTCTCAGCACAGGGACCCCAGGTCCAAAAGGACACACTCTGCTCCTGGCACTGTTTTCATGGTGATATGAGTTCCCCCTGTCTCTCTGCTCACTTCTCTCTTTTATATCTCAAAACAGATTGGCTTAAATTGTAGATTAATTTTGTAGATTGAGTCTATATAACTGCCACTAATCCCATCTCATAAACATCACAGAGGTTAGGATTTATAACACATAGGAAAATTACATCAGATGACAAAATGGTGGACAATCACATAATACTGGGAATCATGGCCTAGCCAAGTTGACAGATATTTTTGGGGGACACAGTTCAATAACAGCCCCGGAACTGCTTGTAGGCGTTTTTTATGAACACAGCCCAGGTTGTGTTTGTTCCTGGTGAAACCTGTGGCAGCTCGTATTTAGCTCAGTGGTGCCCCCTTCTGGCCTTTATTTGGTCTGTTTATTGGGAGCTCAAACGAGGGAAGAGCTGAACCCTGGGAAGAAGGAGGCCGTGTTGGCCTTGGCTCTGCTGCGGATTGAATCGTGTCCCCCGCCAAATTGAGTCGAAGCCCTAACCTCTGTACCTCTAAATATGCCCCTGTTTGGAAACACGGGTTTTCTTTTGTTACGTTAATGAAATCATACCAGATCGTGGCGGGGGGTGGGGGTGATGAACCAGATCCCGCTGAGTGGCTTATAAAAAGAGCAGGACAGACACCAGCATCTATGAGTGGAGCCCCGAGCACCAAGGGGTGCCACCCCTACCAGAAGCTGCAAGAGACAAAGAGGGACCTTCCCCTAGAGCCACACCCTGATCCGGACTTCTAACCTCCAGAACCTGAGAAACTAAATTCCTGTTCTTCCAGGCTGCGCACAGGTGATGTTTTGTTGTGTTGGCCCTGGAAAACCAAGGCTGCCTCCTTCCTCCTGGCTTGTCTGACCTTTTACCTCGGAATTGGTAGGCCTTCTACCTGGAGGGTTTCTGCGAGCTATATAGGCGTGCTACCTTGGTTATAGTTCCTTCCACCTTCAAAAAGAGGTAAATGACCCAGCAGCTGTAGTATGGCAAGAGCAGAGGCGGAGGGTTTGCCTTTTCTGTTTTCTGTGGGACCGGGGTGTCCACAAGTGCTCTGCTGGGGCGGACCGGCCGGTGCTCAGGGACTTGAGCGGGGTTTTCTGTAGGCATTTCCCTGCTTGAACTTAGAAGGCGAAGTTTACATTCCCCGTTGCCCTGTGTACTCCCGCTAAGCACCTGCTGCCTTGGCTGTGTGACTGTCAGAGCGTGATGTCCTGTCGCGGACGTTGGCGAGCTTTCCGGGGAGCGTCTCCACGGTTCGCCTGTCGGTGCTCGTTCCCATGAAGGTGGCCTTCTCACCTTTGTTGGCAGGTTATTGTTGGAATTTTAGAGTGTCGACGCACACAGTGTGAAGACGGGATCCCGTCCCGCAGGGAGGGCATGGGGTGTGGCGTCTCTGATGGTCTCGGTCTGCTAGCCTTGGTTTTATCAATGTGAAATGACCTTGGCGTCTGTACCAGGTCCCTAAGAGTGTGATCGGGGCTGTGGGGGTCGTCTGCTCACGCAGGTGGGAAGTGTTCGTGTGTGTCTGCGTGCTGGTGTTTGACCGGCTTCCTCTAGATGCTGTCTCTGCCCCTGTCCCCATCACATGGATGAGAAGTGTGTTTTTGCCATACCCTCCCGCCCTGGCCCCGACCCTCCTGCCCTTGCCCTGACCCTCCTGGAGGCAGGGATTGCGTCCCCAGCTGTCACAAGCCCCAGGCCCAGCAGCCGGCTCAGGTTTGCAGAGGTTCACCCTCAGCCTCCCCCCCGCCCCAAGTAGCTCCAGAAGAGAAGGTGGCCATCCCCTGGAGAGCCCAGAGCTGTGGCACACAGGATGTTGGGTATAGGGTACAGAGGCCATCGGATCCTGCCTGGGCAGGGAATGAGAGGGGAAGCTTTTGGAAGCTTCTAGGCAGCTCCTGACCAGCCAGTCAAGAGGTGGCCTGGACCAGAAACCCTTGGGCCATCCAGGAAGGAAGGTTGAGCTCTAATTGGACAGTGCAAGGGGGTCGGAGTGATTAGCTTGGATAAAATCATACGTGGTCCAAGGTCGTGGCCTTTGTGAATTCTACACCAGTGATGGTGTATGTTGCAGGTGAATAAACCCTTCCACTGATGTACTTTCCAAAATTCACTGTGATAAAATGTCTATAACAAAGATCTGCCGTAATGATTTGAAGCGTACATTTAGTGAAGTTATGTACGCTCACCGTGCTGTGCGGCCATCTCAGTGTCCGTTTCCAAAGCTTTTTCATCGCCCCGAACAGAAGCCACGTAAGTCTCCATTCCTCCCTCCCCCCGGCCCCTGGTAACCGCTAAGAACGTTGATCTCTACGCACTTGCCTGTTCCAGATGTTGCATGTAAATGGGATTGTACAGTGTGTGTCGCCCATGGCAGGCTTCTTTCACTCAGGATAATGACTTCGGGGTTCACCGTGTCGTGGCGTGGATGAGGACTTTCTTTCTCTCTATGGCATTATATGGATGGACACATTTGTGTGTCCGTTTGTCTGTTGATGGTCACTTGGGTTGTGTCCAGGGATGTGTTGGTAGCGACTGTCCCCTCCGAGTTACTGTTGTGTATTTTGGGTGTTTGATAAAAGTGCCTGGGTGGTGCGTATGGTTAATGTACTCAGACGCTATCTGAAAGGTTGGAGGCTTGAGCCCACCCAGAGGCACCTCGTAAGAAAGGCTTAGTGACCTTCTTCCGAAAAATCAGCCACTGAAAACCCTGTGGAGCACGGTTCTACTCTGCACACGTGGGGTCTCTGTGAGTTGGGGTTGACGCAGTGGCAGCTGATTGGTCTTATACAAGTGTTTTCCTGGCCAGAGCACACACCCTATCCTCGTGAGCTCTGTGTTGCTAGTACCACAGTCGCAAGTTAGGGACCCTTTGTAGTCAGTTGCCTCTCTTCTTTCCAGGGTCCAAAGCCTTCAGCTGCACCAGGAGCTGGACCTCGCTCACTGCAGCTCCAGCACGGATCTGAATGAGGGCCACGGCCGCCGGCACGCCTGGCAGCAGAAACTCAACGGCCAGATCCAGCAGGTCACTCTCCAGCTGCTTGTCAACATCTTCAGGTAGGAGGGCTGCCAGCCCACACTCAGGTAGCAGTGATCTGCGCTCAGGTAGCGGTGACAGCAGGGCCCCCAAAGCTCAGGCTATTGGAATCTGTCACGGCAAGAATGAGGTGGCTCCGGCCCCCACCAGTCCTTTTCTTGTGACTGTTAACACCAGCAGGTTCATTTGGAGTTTGTTCTTGCTACTCCGACCTGCACAGTGCCTTTTGAACCCCCCCTCAAAGAGCCCTCGTGGTGCAACGGTTAAGCACTCAACTGCCACGAGAAAGCTTGACGGTTCGAACCCACCCAGTGGCTCTGTGGGAGAAAGACCTGCCAATCTGGGCCCATAAAGATTACAGCCTAGAAAACTGTATGGAGCAGTTCTGCTCTGTCACATGGGGTCGCTGTGAGTTGGAATTGAATCGACCTGAGGGCACCTAGCAACTACAATCCCTCTCTCTTCTGCATATTCTCATCTCTGGCTGCACTGACTCAGCAAGGCCTATAGGGACGAGAGTATCTTAGGACTGTACACGGAGGGCTTGTCTCTGCTGGGTGCATGCTGGTGCCGACGACGCAGGGTCTAGGCAGGTCAGTCCTGAGAGGCGTGTGTCCAGGAGATGGGGGTGGGAATGGACGGACGGATCATTTCAATGTGACTCATGGACTAGAGGGGGCAGTGGTGAATCAGTGGTAGAAATCTCTCCATGTTGCCCTCATGTTGCACAGGTTTCAGCAGAGCTTCCAGACTAAGACAGACTAGAAAGAAAGGCCTGGCAATCTACTTCCAAAAATCAGCCAGTGAAAACTGTATGGATCACAACGGTCCAATCCACAACCATTCATGGGGATGACATGGGACTGGGCAGAGTTTTGTTCCTTGTACACGGGGTCACCATGAGTCAGGGGCCAACTTGACAGCAGCTAACAACAGCATGAATGCGGTAATGAAGCCCCTACAGGAGAGCCTCCAGGAGGGGGCATGCTCAGGATGTGCTGCTGTTAGAAAGCTCCCCGCTTTCTCTTCCTTGTAATTGTCATCATCAGATATCTGTCGCATGATACTATTTCCACAGCATTTTGCTGGAATTGGTTACATAGAGCAGAAAAGTTTATCTTAGTGGTTCCTGGGAGGCTTAAACAGTTTGCGCTCAGCTACTGACCTGTCTGTCAGACTAAGACAGACTAGGAAGAAGGACCTGACGGTCACCTTCTGAAAAAATTGGCCAGTGAAAACCTCACAAATAGCAGCGGAACATTGTCTGATATAGTGCCGGAAGATGAGTCTCTCAGGTTGGAAGGCACTCACAATATGACTGGGTAGAGCTGCCTCCTCAAAGTAGAGTTGACCTTAATGATGTGGATGGAGTCAAGCTTCTGGGACCTTCATTTACTTATGTGACATGACTCAAAATGAGAAGAAATAGCTGAAAACATCCATTAATAATCGGAATGTGGACTGTACAAAGTATGAATCTAGGAAAATTGGAAATAGTCAAAAATGAAATGGAACACATAAAGATCAATATCCCAGGCATTAGTGAACTGGAATGGACTGGTATTGGCCATTTGAATTGGACGGTCGTATGGTCTACGATGCCGGGAATGACAAATTGAAGAGGAGTGGCATTGCATTCATCGTCAAAAAGAACATTTCAAGATCTATCCTGAAGTACAACGCTGTCAGTGATAGGATAATACCCATATGCCTGCAAGGAAGACCAGTTAATACAACTATTATTCAAATTTATGCACTAACTGTTAAGACCAAAGATGAAGAAATTGAAGATTTTTACCAATTTCTGTGATCTGAAATTGATCAAATGTGCAATCAAGATGCACTGATAATTACTGGTAATTGGAGTATGAAAGTTGGAAACAAAAAAGAAGGATTTGTAATTGGTATATATGGCCTTGGTGATAGAAATGACATGGGAGATTGCAAGATAGAATTTTGCAAGACCAACGGCTTATTCATTGCAAATACCTTTTTCAACAACATAAATGGTGACTATACACATGGAGTCCTGTAGGTTCACTATGAGTTGGAATTGACTTGATGGCAGCGGGTTTGGTTTTTTTTGGTTTTACACACATGGACCTTGCCAGATGGAATACACAGGAATCAAATTGACTCCATCTGTGGAAAGAGATGATGGAAAAGCTCAATATCATCAGTCAGAACAAAGCCAGGGGCTGACTGCAGCACAGACCATCAATTGCTCATATGCAAGTTCAAGTTGAAACTGAAGAAAATTAGAGCAAGTCCATGAGAGCCAAAGTATGACCTTGAGCACATCCCACCTGAATTTAGAGACCATCTCAAGAGTAGGTTTGACACATTGAACACTAATGGCAAAAGACCAGATGAGTTGTGGAATGACATCAAGGACGTCATACATGAAGACAGCAAGAGGTCATTAAAAAAACCGGAGAGAAAGAAAAGAAGAAACTCTGGAAGTTGCTGTTTAACATCGAGCAGCTAAAGTGAAAGAAAGAAATGATGAAGTAAAAGCTGAACAGAAGATTTCAAACGGCAGCTTGAGTGGACAAAGTAAAGTATTATAATGACATGTGCAAAGAGCTGGAGATAGAAAACCAAAAGGGAGGAACATACTTAGCATTTCTCAAGCCGAAAGAACAGAAGAAAACATTCAAGCCTTGAGTTGCAATATTGAAGGATTCTATGGGCAAAATACTGAACGACAAAGGAAGCATCAAAAGAAGGTGGAAGGAATGCACAGTCACTGTACCAAAAAGAATTGGTTAACGTTCAGCCATTTCAGAGGTAGCATATGATAAAGAGCTGATGGTACTGAAGGAAGAAGTCCAAGCTGCACTGAAGGCGTTGAGAAAAACAAGTCTCCAGGAAGTGATGGAATATCAATTGAGATGTTTGAACAAACGGATACAGTGCTGGAAGTGCTCACTTGTCTATGCTAAGAAATTTGGAAGACAGCTACCTGGCCAACCAGCTAGAAGAGATCCATATTTGTGCCCATTCCAAAGAAACGTGATCCAACAGAATGCAGAAATTATCAAACAATATCATTAATATCACATGCAAGTAAACTTTTGCTAAAGATCATTCAAAAATGGTTGCAGCAGTACATCGACAGGGAACTACCAGAAATTCAGGCTGGATTCAGAAGAGGATGTGGAACAAGGGATATCATTGCCGATGTCAGATGGATCCTGGCTGAAAGCAGAGAATACCAGAAAGATGTTTACCTGCACAGGCATTCGACTATGTGGACCATAACAAACTATGGATAACATTGTGAAGATTAGGAATTCCAGAACACTTATTTGTGCTCATGAGGAACCAAGAGGCAGTCATTTGAACAGAATAAGGGGATACTGCATGGTTTAAAAGCAGGATAGGTATGCGTCAGGGTTGTATCCTTTCACCATACTTACTCAGTCTGTATGCTGAGCAAATAATCTGAGAAGCTGGACTATACACAGAAGGACATGGCATCAGGATTGGAGGAAGATTCATTAACAACCTGCGTTATGCAGATGACACAACCTTGCTTGCTGAAAGTCAAGAGGACTTGAAGCGCTTACTGATGAAGATCAAAGACCACAGCCTTCAGTGTGGATTACACTTCAACATAAAGAAAACAAAAATCCTCACAACTGGACCAATAAGCAACATCATGATAAATGGAGAAAAGATTGAAGCTGTCAAGGATTTCATTTTACTTGGATCCACAATCAATGCCCATGGAAGCAGCAGTCAAGAAATCAAAGGATGTATTTCACCAGGCAAATCTGCTGCAAAAGACCTCTTTAAAGTGTTAAAAAGCAAAGATGTCACCTTGAGGACTAAGGTGCGCTTGACCCAAGCCATGGTATTTTTAACCACCTCATACGCGTGCAAAAGCTGGACAATGAATGAGGAAGACCAAAGAAGAATTGACACCTTTGAATTACGGTGTCGGCGAAGAATATTGACTATACTGTGGACTGCCAGAAGTACGAACAAGTCTGTCTTGGAAGAAGTACAGCCAGAATGCTCCTTAGAAGCAAGGATGGCAAGACTTTGTCCCATGTACTTTGGACATGTTGTTAGGAGGGACCAGTCTCTGGAGAAGGACATCATGCGTCATAGAGTAGAGGGTCAGCGAGAAAGAGGAAGAGTCTCAGCAAGATGGATTAACACAGTGGCTGCAACAATGGGCTCAAACATAACAGCAATTGTGAGGATGGCACAGGACTGGGCAGGGTTTCGTTCTGTTGTGCACAGGGTGGCTATGAGTCGGAACCAACTTGAGGACACCCAACAACAGCAGCTCACCAAAAGGTTGGTGGCTGGAACTGACGTAGTGGTGCTTTGAGAGGAAGGCCTAGTGATCTGCTTCCATAAAGATTACAGTCAAGAAAACCCTGTGGAGCAGTTCTATTCTGTAACACATGGGTTTGCCATGAGTCGGAATCAACTCCATGGTGACGAGTTTATGTATGGGCATTCAGTAAGTTGCTATTTCTAGCCTAAATGTGCAGCCATTTAGGGAAAGTATAGTAGATAAATACCTCCAATTTTGTCAGCTTTGTGCATAAATAATTTTTAGTTCAAATTTCATCTTTGTGGAAGTGCGTTTCGGCCTTTCCTTTCTTCCAACCCTTTCTTCTCCTCTCTCTTCCAGCTCTCTTACCCTTGCTGCTCTCTCCCGGGGTCCAGCAGCCAAGGAAGGCGGCCCCTTTGGTAGAATCCACGGGCTGCCCACTGCCAGGTCCTTTCTGTTCTGGAGGGAAGTTCCACTGTGAGGCTCTATAGCAGAGCTCACTCACTTGACAAGACTCAGCGTGAATATCTCAAAGCCAAAATCATAATGGCATTATTCTTTTGATGGGTTTATTTATATAAAGCAAATAACTTATTAGGGGAAAAAATGGGATGCTATCTTATAGACAGGTTATATTATCTCTTAGCTCATAGCAGTATAACCTGGGTAAGGGTATGTTCCTTGAAGATGAAATATTTTATGATCAAGACTTTTGTTTTTAAAACAATTTATAAGCTTAATGAGTTGATAAAAGCAGAAAATATGATTACAGATCCCAAAACTTTCTTCTGCTAGATGAAATTTTTTCCTCATAGGTAGAGTACGTACTGAATATGCCTTCTAACCGTTGATTCTGTGTTTAGACTAATACCCCAGGTCTGGGAGCGCGTAGGCTAAAATCCCCACAGATTTCGGATGAGGACACGGTACCCAGAGGGAAGTGGCTTCAGGCTGGTGGCTGGGCTGGTCAGCGTGCAGACAGTCTACCTGCTGCTCTGTCGCTCTTCCTGTGACACCATCCTGCGCTCATTTGCATTTGATTAGTAAATAAAAGCTATTGTGTCTTAATTTGTGTCGAGAGCTAGGGCGTTTGGAGCAGAAGATGGCACCCCCCACCAAGGCTTTATTCCAGATGCACGGAAAAGTTATGATGCTTAAAGCCACGAACAGTTTGATACATCCACATTGTATCATGTTGGCATCAGAATAATTTCCCGAAGAACAGGGCTTTTCAAAGTGTTGTCATTTTTCTGCTACCAATGGTGATATGTCTTTCGGGTACCTAAAAATATTTCCACACTTAGACTCTCTTTTCTGTTTGGTAGGGAAGTGAAGAATCATTTAAATTACGAACATCGAGTATTTAATAGCGAAGAATTTCTCAAAACAAGAGTTCCAGAGGATCAGCAATTTTACAAGCAGGTAAGAGGTGTGGGCTGTGCATGCAGCTTCAGTCCTTTATGCGTCTCTGTTTCAGACAGCTTTCACAATAAGGTTCTTCAACATCGGTTTGGATTTGATTGATTTTATCGGCTTTCCCAAAAAGTTTAACACAGCTCCTCTAGAGCATTGACCAGCTGTGTCTTTATGTTTTTTTTATTATGGTGAAATAAACGGAACATAAATTTAGCAGTGTTACCATTTGAAAGCGTCCAGTTCAGTGACGTTAAGTACATTCATAATGTTGCACAGACATCACCACCATCAAGGTCTAAAAGGTTTTCATAGCTGATGCTTTCTATGTCCCTCCCTCTCCCTGGAGCCGCCAATCCACTTTTGTCTGCGGATTTGCCTTTGCTTTTTTTTTTTTTTAACAATCCCACAGCCTCTCTCTCTCTCTTTTTTTTTTTGATATAAATATTTTATGTTTGGCAAACACAGACAGAAAAACCCGTTCCTGTGCGGCAGTTCCCAGACGCGATGGTCAGTGATGTTGATTGTGCTCCGTATTGCGTCAGCATTCTCCTTCTTTCCGTTCTGGTTGTTTCACTCCCATTGACGTAAACTCCCTGCTCCCAGGTCTTCTCAGCTACGCTTTAAAAACAGCTGTTGTCCATTTGGTCCTATATAGATCATTTTTTAAAAGAGCGCAGTACTCAGGGGTGACAATCTTTACTTTTTGAGCCAAACTGTTACTTAGCTTAAAGGTGGCTTGAGGGCGGATGTGCCTGTTCTGGACATTTCACGTCAATGGGATCATGCCATACGCGGCCTTTGTGTCCGACTTCCTCCACTCAGCGTGATGTTTTCAAGGTTCGTCCATGTTGTAGCGTGGATCAGGACTTCATTTCTCTCTTTGGCTGAGTCCTATCCCATAGCATTGTGATGACCTGTGTTGTGTTTATCCAGAGACACAGCAATGGGGGCATGCAGGCCCAGACGGGGCACTTGCCCCCGGGCACAAGTCCAAGGGGGCACAGAATGACATTCTGAGATGCCACAAATATGAAAGATGCCTGACTAACGCAACAGGCCGAGAGGAAAGAAGCATTTCTGCTGCTGAGTCGGTGCTATCAACATCTGTCCATCTTGTAACTGAGGGGAGAGACGCAACTCAGAGATTGCCCTGGGTGTTCATTACCCGTGCTCCGCCTCTGTGGTTGCTCATTCATCTGTTGATGGACACTTGGGTTGTTTGCTGTCTGTCTCAGTCACCTAGTGCTGCTCTAACAGAAATACCACAGGTGGATGGCTTTAACCAAGAGAAGTTTATTCTCTCACAGTCCAGTAGGCTGGAAGTCCGAACTCAGGGCACTGGCTCCAGGGGAAGGCTTTCTCTCTTTGTCTGCTCTGGAGGAAGGTCCTTGTGATGCATCAGTTTTCCTT